GTGAGCTGATTGTGGTGTGGTTTTGTGTTAATAGGTTGGTTTCAGTCATGTTGGGTTTCTGGTGTAATGTAATGTATGTGTGTCTAGGTGCTGTAGAGAGTGTGTGTATAGGGGGATGTGCATAGGGTATGTGTATGTGTTTGCTTACTAGGAATCTAGTGTGTACATAGGGGTTCCAGAATGTGAATGTCAGAAATGTAGTGTGTGTGTGTGTGTAGGTGGTGCAGTGTGTGTGTGTGTAGGGGATCTAGTGTGTGTTTGAAGGACCTATGTGTATAGGAGATCTAGTGAGTGTGTGTGTAGAGGATTCAGATTGTATATAGGGATCTAGTGTGTGTATATGTGTAGATGATCTAGAGTTGAGTAAGGAATCTAGTGTGTGTCTGGAATGTAATGTGTTTAGGGGTGCAGTATGTGTGTGAGGGGTTCTGTAGTATATATACACATATATATTTGGAAGTATTGTGTGTGTGTGTGTGTGATATAGTGTGAATTTGTGAGGAGTATAGTGTGTGTTAGGGTGCAGTGTGTTTGAGGTTGCTGTGTGGGAGTTGTACAGTTTGTGTGTGTGCTGTGTGTGAGGTGTGCAGTGTGTGTGTGTGAGGGTGCTCTTTGTGTGGGGATGCTGTGTTTGTGAGTGATGTGTGTTAGGTTGCTGTGTAGTGTGTGTTTAGAGGGATTGTGTGTTGGGGAGACAGTTTTTTTTATTTACTAATATGTATTTTTTGGGGGTATTTTTTTTAATAATAAAAAAAAAAACAGGCATTGTATCCCCCCTCTCTTCTTACCTTTAGCCTGGGAGGGGGGACCGTGCTGCCATCCATGGTGGTCCTAGTGGTGAGTTAACTCTAGCCTGTGGGGTCAGAGATCACTCTTGCAGGACCTGGAGCGCTACGGATCTTGCAAGAAGAACCTGGTAGAGCTGCAAGATAGAGCGCGGCCGGGTTTTCTCCCCAGCCAGTGGCCGCATGAAATTGCCTGTGGGCCAGTGAGGGAGATCTCTGATCTCCCCACTGGCATGTCATGGAACACAGCGGGGCCGGTGCTCCAATAGCGCTGGCCCTGCATGGACCGGACGGGGAGGTTCTGTGACCTCCTCGGCCCATGGCCATCATGGCCCACCGGGCATTTGTCCAGTGTGCAGATGGCCAGTCCAGGCCTGCTGCTGACCCAGGACAATGTTAGCCTGTTCCTATTAGATCAAATGGGATAGTAATGGACTAAATCTTTTAACATCTTAGCATAGAGCTTTGTCTCTATGTTAAGGAGAGGTAATTAGATGTTAGTTGGCTTACCAGGTTTGGGGAGAGTTATGACATTTGCTTCAAGCATCTCTGATGGTATAGAACCTGTAGTATGAATATGATTGAATAAGGAAATGAGATGAGTTGTAAGAGGTCTGCAAATTTGAGATAAGAGCAGTTCGTAATCCAATCTGGCTCTGGGGCTTTAGGTTTTGGAAGGCTCTGAATAATACGAAAGACCTCAAAGGGTACTTTAACACTGCACATTCAGGTGGGTTTAAAGTAGATAGAAGAAGCTAATCCAGAAAAGAGTGGACATTCTCAACTGATGGAACTTAAATGTTAGTCTTGGTATAAGTTATACAGAGAATCGTAGAAGGATGCCAGTTTGTAGACAAAATAGTGAGGATGGTGCTCACTTTATTTCTCATTGATTTTCTTAGAGAATTAGTTACTAATTAAGTACATTTAAATTAAATAGCTATTTCAGTTGGATAGCTGATACTATAAATCAAGTTTGCTTCCTGCTCCTGTGTAGGAAGCACCTCTACTAAACAGTGCTTCCATAACTTAGCATTGTGTATGAACTAGGATGTGGAAGCACTGCTTAGTAGAGATGCTACTGCACAGGACACCGCGTGATAATATATTATTACAAATGACAAACTGAAATTCCGATGACAATGAGGCATTGCACTGTGCCCTCCTCTGCAGAAAGTCAGGTTTTTTTTTTTTGGCAAGCAATGTTTAAACAACAAAGTAACTGGTTATATCTACATGCCATTAGTGTGAGGAAAGAATTCAGCCAAATTACTGCTCACTCCAATGAACTTTTTACACTTGCATGTCACACCCTCTTGCAGGAAACAAAACACAAGCAGATCAGAATCTGGGACACATGCAGGAACAAACAGAAAGGCGGAATGGAAAAATATATTTATTGCATGTCTGCCTGGTGTCCTCTTCTCATTGCGGCAGTGGACTTCCTGCAGCTCAGCTCACTGGCCAGTGTTCTAATCAAATACAACATACCATGGAGGTAAAAATCAGATGCATTATTGATGTCCACATCTTCTCTTATAAGTAGTGATGTTCCGAACGGTTTGCCGCGGATTCATCATTGAGTAAACTTTGACCCTGTACCTCACAGTCAACAGACACATTCCAGCCAATCAGCAGCAGACCTTCCCACCCAGACCGTCCCACCTCCTGGACAGCATCCATTGTGAAGCTGCATTCTTAGCGAGCTGTCCAGGAGGTGGTAGGGTCTGGGAGGGGGAGGGTCTGCTGCTGATTGGCTGGAATGTGTCTGCTGACTGTGAGGTACAGGTTCAAAGTTTACTCAATGATGAGTCCGTGGCGAACCGTTCGAGACATCACTACTTATAAGACAATAAACACAAAACTATATCCATCTCATGACCATTATTTAATGAATAGTCATAATGTGTAAAAAAAAACAAACAAAAAACCAAACAGGAATGGGTCGAGATTGCTTAGTAAATGTACATATTCTTATTCATTAATACTAATCTATGAATGGACAAGTTTATTCCCAGTAATGCACAGGGCTGGCTGCCTGAAAGTGATGCTGTCAGCAATCACATTCCTATCAGTTACAGCAATGTACATGCTGGGCTCTCATTTATCCCAGTTTACACTGGGTTCTGAGAGTGATAGGGGTGTAATTACTCATAAAGTAACAGGAGGTTTCTCAATGGCCGCCGGCCAGAGTTGCCGCACGTGGAAGACAGTGTGTGGTTACTGGGAGACGAAAGTGATTGGTAATATCAGTAAATTACAAGGCCGATACACATTATTGATAATATGCTGAATATTGTCTCTAATAATTGTGGAACCAATTTTTGGTCTATCTCTACACCTAGGAATAAATTATCTACATTCTATGGTTCCAGTGGACTCTGCGCTAAAGAAGTTACATCTTTAGGTGAGTCAGTGGATTCACCTGGAACACACACACAAATTTAGTACAGACAAACTCTGATACACACACAGGCTTACTACAGACAAGCTCACTGTCACGCACACATACTCACTACAGACAAGCCCACTGATGCGCACATACTCTCCCTACAGACAAGCTCATTGACACACACATGCTCCCTACAGAAGAGCTCACTAACACACAGATTCACTACAGACAAGCTCACTGCCACACATATCGTCACTACAGACAAGCTCACAGTCACACACATGCTTACTACAGACAAGCTTACTGCACACACACTCATGCTCCCTACAGACAAGCTCACTAACACACACACACACGATCCCTACAGACAAGCTCACTCACTAGCAGACAAAGTTCACTCACTAGCAGACACACACAGAAGCTCACTCACTAGCAGAAACACACACAGAAGCTCACTCACTAGCAGACACACACACAGACGCTCACTCACTAGCAGGCACACATACAAACTCACTCAGTAGCAGACGCACACAAAAGCTCACTCACTAGCAGACGCACACACACACAAACTCCCTCACTAGCAGATATGCACACAAACTCCCTCACTAGCAGATATGCACACACACACAGAAGCTCACTCACTCACTAGCAGATGCACACACACAGGCAGACAGCGACACACACAGGAAGTCATCCACACACAGAGACAGACAGTCACACACACACACACACTGAGGCAGGCAGACAGCCACACACACACAGGCAGACAGCTACAAACACACACACAGGCAGACAGTCACACACACAGGCAGATGGCCACACACAGTCTGGACAGTCACACACAGGCAGGCAGTCACACACACACACACACACACACACACACAGGCAGACAATCACACATAGTTACCTCTGTTCGTTATGGAGGCAATGCAGCTCCTGGAGACATCTTAATGACAGCTTACTGACCTGCTTCTTACCTCCACATCCCCTGGAGCTCTTTGAGACTGTTTTATGGGGAAGCAAGGATGCCTTCCTGCTTCCCATGCTGCAGTTACCCAACACGTTTAGCCCCACAGTCATTTTGGCTCCCCCTTCGCTGTACGGTAAGCCCCACCCGCGCCACAATATTGGCTTTTTTTGTTTGTTTTTTCATGATCCTGGCCGGCCATGTGTGAGCTGTGTCCCCGCATGGCACCCCCTGCTCCCAGTGCACAGCGCGCGCACCTCTAAGGCCGGCCATGATTACAGGAGCCTGATTAGTGATGATTAGGGCTGTCAGCCCAGCCCCAAGTGCCGCGGCCCACCAGGAAATTAACCGGTACCCCGGTGGGCCAGTCCGGCCTGGATATACCCCAACTGGAAACGTGTGCACTCAATTATGCTTATTTTATTTTTTTATTGTAGTTAAATATAAAAACAACTCGTAAAACCCGCAGTTCTCTTGTCTGTACCCTTTGCAAATCCTCCTCCTCAAACCCCACCCAGACTTTCTATATCTGTCCAATCACAGACTTCCCAAATTGTAGCTCCATGAGGCGGGTGCTCTGTGCAATTGCTGCCTTCTTGACTTTAGCTCCACGGACCTAACCAAACCAGGAAGTAACAGAACTAACTGTAGGATTGACAGCCAGGAGGGCATAACAAGATGAAGTGGAAATCTCTATTGAAATCTCTACTTTTTGTAATATGTTTAAAAAAAAAAAAAGGAGACCACGCTCTTCAAACATGAAGCATTTCAGAGAGATAAAGTGCTGTAGCAGTTGGAGACACTGTCTTATAATGCTTTTTTTTAACAGTATAACATAGTTTTAAAAGATGCATTGGAAAAATTTGGGAAAGGAATTGCATCCCTTTTGCTACAGATTTTGGAGGGAGGACGGGGTCTCCCATTCTCAAACCCCCCCCTTCCTCCTTGGCTGGACAGGCAGCAGGACACTCGCACAGCCCAGCAGCCGTTCTAGAACGCACGCACTACACGATGACATTCCATCACACCAGCCAGCTACGTCATCACCCCCCGCCTCCCGTAACACGTCATCACTCCAGGGCGGCTCTGCCCTCACTGTCCTCCTCCTCCTCCAGGTGAGCCGGTGATGTCACAGCCGGGCAGGTGAAGTGGCGTGAAGGCACTGCTTGGCACGGGTTAGCGCTCGTTACGGAGGAAGCGCGGCCAGGCACACAGCGCTGTCAGTATGCCGGCCCCCCGCATTGCTGCCCGTCTCCCCCTGCCAGCCGTCTGGCTGTGGCTCTGGCTGGGCCCCGCGCTGTGTCCGCTGGCGGGGGCGGTCCCGGAACAAGGAACGTGGAGCCTGTCGGTCTCCAGTGTAAGTAGGCACCATCACCACTGCGCGGCTGCTCGCCTGTCACCGACAATAAAGTTTGTTTTATTTGGCTGTAGCTGTCACTAGTAACCAGCATTTCGCTTCTTAAAATAACAACAGCTCCAAAGTGAAACATAATCACGTTAAAATGGTGGATATTATTATTATTATAATTTACTACCAATGCTCACTCTGCCACAATATATATATTACAGTACACTATGGCTACAAAGCAATAACAAAAACTATTAAAACAAACCCCACAGTTAGCTGACACTTTTTTTTTTTTTTTTAAATTGTGTTTATCTCCATGTGTAGCTATTTTCTTTTCAAAGGTACGATTATTTAAGAAAGGGGGGGGGGAGTTATAAGTAAGAAAAAATGGGGAGTACTTTTTCCTTACGGATAACTTGCAGGTTGCCAAAGAGTGGTGCTTTAGTCAAGCTACACCACCTTTGTCAGCTTTATCATTGGTTTGCCACATAGTATCTCGCTCCAGGGTCGTGTTTTGTGACGATTCTTAACATCTGTTGGCTTTTGCGGGGTTCCCCCCGCGTCCCCCCAAGTTTTCAAACTGCGTGCGTGTGATTTCACATGCATACCCTAGGAAGGGCAGAAGAGCAGATTTCTGGCAGCTGCCATCTTGGAAAAGCTAATGGAGACACAACATTGATGTAAGTAATGTAATAATTTGTGAGTGTGTGAAAGAATGTTTGTGTCTTCTTGTCTATCAGTGAGCGTGCCTGTCTGTTTAGGTGATTGCATGGGAAAGGTGTTTTTACTCGCCTTTTTCCATGCTGTACTGGTGTGCCATGGCTGGCTCTCTCCACATCTATGGCTGAGATCATCAATTTTGATGATCTCAGTCAAGCCAATGCTTTTCCATAGGAAAGCAGTGGGAGGCTATTGCACGTTCGCATCAAAATGTTGTACTGCACCAACCAGCACCTCATAGAGAAGAATTGAATCGATGGGGTACATTCAGCACCTCCATGCAAAGTGTGGGGACACTGAATGCAGGTGCTGTACACGGTGCAGCATTGGACTTCGAAGCACCTCTAGTAGATGTTTGGCTAACAGTCACTAGAAGTGTTACCAGGCAGCAATTTAAACACTGCCTTTTCTCTGAAAAAGCAGTGTTTACATTACAAAGCCTGCAGGGACAGGCTATAGACACCAGCTGCAATGGTTCTGGTGACTATAGTGCCCCTTTAACCCCTTAAGGACTGAGCCAATTGTACCAGCTGTGATCAAAACGTAAACAAAACCTGGAATTCTTTAACCCCTTAAAGGACCACTCTAGGCACCCAGACCACTTCAGCTTAATGAAGTGGTCTGGGTGCCAGGTCCAGCTAGGGTTAACCCATTTGTTCATAAACATAGCAGTTTCAGAGAAACTGCTATGTTTATGAATGGGTTAAGCCTTCCCCTATTTCCTCTAGTGGCTGTCTCATTGACAGCCGCTAGAGGCGCTTGCGTGCTTCTCACTGTGATTTTTCACAGTGAGAGCACGCCAGCGTCCATAGGAAAGCATTATGAATGCTTTCCTATGTGACCGGCTGAATGCGCGTGTATTCAGCCGACGGGGAGGAGAAGAGGAGGATCGGAGGAGGAGAGCTCTCCGCCCAGCGCTGGAAAAAGGTAAGTTTTAACCCCATTCCCCTTTCTAGAGCCGGGCGGGAGGGGGACCCTGAGGGTGGGGGCACCCTCAGGGCACTATAGTGCCAGGAAAACGAGTATGTTTTCCTGGCACTATAGTGGTCCTTTAAGGACGGAGCCAAATGTACACATTGTGAATGAAACACAATGTATACAAAACCTGGCGTTTGCGCTACATGTCTGTCCAACCGTAATACACCTCTTTCATATTAAATACACCCACCCTTATTATATATCAATTTATTCAGGGGAAACAGGGCTTTCATTTAATATCAAATATTTAGCTATGAAACATAATTTAATATGAAACAAATGGGAGAAAATAAGATTTTTTTATTTTTTTTTTTTTAGTTCTACATGACATTTTAACGGTCAATGTCATAATACTGTTTGCTTTTACTGCAATAAAATACACGTATTTGTATTCAGCAAAGTATCACGTGTAAAACAGTACCCCCTATGTACAGGTTTTATGGCGTTTTGGGAAGTTACAGGGTCAAATATAGCACGTTACATTTGTAATTGAAATTCACCAGATTGGTTATGTTGCCTTTGGGACTTTATAGTAGCCCAGGAATGAAATTTACACCCATAATGGCATACCATTTGCAATAGTAGACAACCCAAGGTATTGCAAATGGGGTATGTCCAGTCTTTTTTAGTAGCCATTTGGTCACAAACACTGGCCAAAGTTAGCGTTAGTATTTGTTTGTGTGTGAAAAATGCAAAAAACGCCAATTTTGGCCAGTGTTTGTGACTAAGTGGCTACTAAAAAAGACTGGACATACCCTGTTTGCAATACCTTGGGTTGTCTACTATTGCAAATGGTATGCCATCATAGGGGTAATTTTCATTCTTGGGCTACCATAGGGTCTCAAAGGCAACGTACCCAATCTGGCAAATTTTAATGTGAAAAAAATGAAACACAAGACTTATATTTGACGCTGTAACTTTTGAAAACACCATAAAACCTGTACATGAGGGGTACTGTTGTACTCGGGAGACTTCGCTGAACACAAATATATGTGTTTCAAAACAGTAAAAAGTATCGCAGCAATAATATCGTCCGTGTAAGTGCTGTTTGTGCATGAAAAATGCAAAAAACTTCACTTTTACTGGCGATATCATCGTTGTAATACATTTTACTATTTTGAAACACTAATATTTGTGTTCAGCGAAGTCCCCCGAGTAGAACAGTGCCCCCCATGTACAGGTTTTATGGTGTCTTGGAAAGTTATAGGGTTAAATATAGTGCTAGCAAATTAAATTCTCTTTACTTTCGGCATGGGTTGTCAGGCAGGTCCCGCTAATTGTAATTAATTAAGATATCCAATTATGTAAAAATATTACATAAATATATATGTAGAATTAATGTGTGTGTGTGTATATGTATGTGTATATGTGTGTATATATATATATATATATATATATATATATATATATATATATATATATATATATATATAATTTTATATATAGTGATATATATGTATATAAATATATATATAATTTCATTCTACGTGTATTTTGATATAAATATATATTATCACAATACAGTTCGAACGAAATAACACACATCTATATATTTTTTATTTTTTAATTTTATTTAACGTATTTACATATTTTTTTTTTTTATATTTATTTAATCAGTATCAGTCTACGTGTAATTTGATATTAATATATATATATATTATAGTAATACACCTATACAGTGTGTGTGTATGTATGTATGTATATATAATATATACATAAATATATATATATATATTTTTTTTTTTTACACTTATTTAACTTTTTTTTATTATTATAGGCAGCCCCCCTGCTGGCAATGCAGGAGGCAGCTATCCCGGCCATGTGATTGTGAGGTCCTTGCAAGCACCTCACTCTCACACGGCTGGGGGGGGCTGCCAGGGGGTCGGACGTGCCGCGGGGGGCTCCCTGGGAGTTCCCCCAACCACAGTCGCCGGCGACCGGAGGGCGTACTATCACGTCCGGCGGCGTTTAGAGCCGCCTAAAATAGGGCGTAATAGTACGCACTCCGGTCTTAAGGGGTTAATATGTCCAACCGTAATTCACCTTTTTCATATTAAATGCACCCACACATATTCTATATCATTTGTTTTCAGGAGAAACTTTCATGTCGCATCAAACATTTATATATTAAACATAATTTAATATGAATAAAATATTTTAAAAATTGAGAAATTAAGAAACTTTTTTTTGTTTTTTAGTTCTGCATGACATTTTAACTGTGAATGTCATAATAATGTTAGCTGTTACTGCAATAAAGTACCCATATGTGTGTTCAACAATGTCTCACGAGTAAAACAGTACCCCCATGTACAGATTTTATGGTGTTTTGGGAAGTTACAAGACCAAATACAACACATTACATTTCTCAGTTTATACACATTGAAATTTGCCAGATTGGTTATGTTGCCTTGGAGACCGTATGGTAGCCCAGGAATGAGAATTACCCCCATGATGGCATGCCATTTGCAAAAGAAGACAACCCAAGGTATTACAAAGGGGATTATGTCCAGTCTTTTTTAGTAGCCACCAAGTCACAAACACTGGCCAAAGTTAGTGCTCATATTTGTGTGTGAAAAATGCCCAAAAAAACGAATTTGAGCGCTAATTTTGGCCTCTGTTTGTGAATAAGTAGCTACTAAAAAAGACTGGACATACCCCATTTGCAATACCTTGGGTTGTCTACGTTTGCAAATGGTATGCCATCATGGGGGTAATTCTCATTCCTGGGTTACCATACGGTCTCAAAGGCACCGTAACCAGTCTGGCAAATTTCAATGTGTATAAACTGAGAAATGTAATGTGTTTATATTTGACGCTGTAACTTTCCAAAACACCATAAAATCTGTACATGGGGGTACTGTTTTACTCGCAAGACATTGCTGAACACACACATGAGGTTTTTTTTGCAGGCATGAGTGGGACAACCTGGAAGTTCAGGCAGTCCCCCTGCAGGCAATGCATAAGCCGCCTATTCCAGCCATGTGATGGCAAAGAACCCCGCGATCACATTGCACGGGAGGGCCGGATTGGGCAGTGGGGTCTGCCTGAGCTACCAGGCAGTCCCCAGGATCGCACCCACCCGCGTGGGGACCCAGTAAGTCACCCAAAATAGAGCATTTAGAGCCACCCAAAATAGGACGACATAGAACGCCCGCCGTCCTTAAAGGACCACTCTAGGCACCCAGACCACTTCAGCTTAATGAAGTGGTCTGGGTGCCAGGTCCAGCTAGGGTTAACCCATTTGTTCATAAACATAGCAGTTTCAGAGAAACTGCTATGTTTGTAAATGGGTTAATCCAGCCCTCAAATCCTCTAGATGCTGTCTCACTGACAGCTGCTAGAGGCACTTGCGTGATTCTCACTGTGAAAATCACAGTGAGAACACGCAAGCGTCCATAGGAAAGCATTGTAAATGCTTTCCTATGAGACCGGCTGAATGTGCGCGCAGCTCTGGCCTCGCGTGCGCATTCAACCGAAAGGGAGGAGAGGAGGAGGTTCGGAAGCGGTGAGCTCCCCGCCCGGCGCTGGAGAAAGGTAAGTTTTTAACCCCTTTCCTCTCCCCAGAGCCCGGCGGGAGGGGGACCCTGAGGGTGGGGGCACCCTCAGGGCACTATAGTGCCAGGAAAACAAGTATGTTTTCCTGGCACTATAGTGGTCCTTTAAGGGGTTAAGAATTGTATTTTTGTACTTGAAAATAATGCTTTGTTAGTGTTAAAAAAACTGGCTTCTAACTTGTTTAGCTGACTCCTCGATTCCAAGCAAATTTGTCAAGCCATGTTCGACAGCATTGTGTGAATGTGTTAGAAATCTCCTTTGCAAAGTGGTGATACAAGCTAGTATTTTGAGACTGCTTGAAATAGCATAGCAGTCCTCTTGTGTTTTCTCAATTTCATTACAGTTTTAGTATATGTGCCGCCAAAGTTAGCATATCCTCTTGTATTTTCAAAAAAAGACCTCTCTGGATTTTCTGAATCAATTAGTTCTAAAGTGATATCAGGCCATCATTTTTATCACTGCTGTCCATGTTTACAATGTGCTATGCAAGCAGTGTTATCGCAAACATAAATAATTACTTTATTTGCTAACTTGGTACAGAATTCACTCTACTTTTGTAAACTGTACCTGAAATTATTTAGCATGACATTTACAGGGTTATTTATTAAAATCAGAATTGTTAAGAATTAAAAGTGAATTTCAAACTGGAGGCCACAAAAGTCGAAATGGAAAAATTCTCTAATAGTGTTCTGTCTGAAATATAAAGATAAAGTTAAATGAAATGACTACGAAGCTATCGCATTATAATTTATAAAATGTATTATTGGTTCCCCTTGTCTTTTCGCCACTTGATTAATCAAGTTAAAGGGACACTCCAGGCACCCAGACAACTTCTGCCCGTTGGAGTGGTCTGGGTGCCAACTCCCACTACCCTTAACCCTGCAACTGTAAATATTGCAGTTTTTTTTTCTTTTTTTAAACTGCAATAATTACCTTGCAGGATTAACTCCACCTGTAGTGGCTGTTTACTAGACAGCCACCAGAGGGCACGTCCGTATCTCTAGCACAGATTTTCAATGCTTTCCTATGGGGAGCGGCAGCGGATGAAGAAGCAGCGACGTGGGGCATGTCGCTGCCTCTGGTAAGTCACTGAAGTGGTTTTCACCCCTTCAGCAACTGGGGATTGGGAGGTGGGAGGGAGAGGGGACCTGCAGTGCCAGGAAAACGGATTGTTTTCCTGGCACTGGAGTTTCCCTTTTAATAGCCACAAAATGAGACGTAATGCAAAAATTACCTGTTAATTTAACACAGAATATTTTTGTTTGTTTGGAAGAATGCCTTTACAACATATGTTGTATTTTTCAATTGAATCGCAGTGTTTGTTGTTTTATTTTGTGTGTCCATCAGTTACTGTCATTTTGTTGATTTCATCATTTTCTGCATTTTTATTTTATTTGACATAAAGGAATAACAAAGCAAACACACTACAGTTTTATTTATATTATTTATTGTGTTGGGAAGCTGTTCCTAAAAACGTTTTCATGACGCTTCAACTTGATTATTTGTGTGCAGGCACCACTGTTGAGCCATCCAAGTTATTTTGTTGTTGCGCGAGAATTTACTGGTGCTTATTCTATTCAGATCAGATTCATTCACTTTAACCCCTTAAGGACACATGACATTTGTGACATGTCATGATTCCCTTTTATTCCATAAGTTTGGTGTTAAGACCTGCAGTGGTTATGGTACTGCGGTCTTCCATTCCTTCCCCAATAGCTGAGCATAAGTGATTTATAGCTGCAGTAGGAGGCAGAGGAATTGTGTAGAAGAATGCAGATTCCAAGATGATTCTCCCCAGCAAATAGAATATTCCCCAAACATGAGCCTAGACTTCATGAAGTGTGTAACAGGAATTAAGTTTATTGATGACACACTGGCTTTTATGAGAAATCCTCATGCAGGAGGACCTCCCACAGTAAACAAAGACAATAATCAATCAACATACAGCTTTACAGTAACCCCCGCCCTCTCTCTGCCTGGGAGATATTGAGATAAGTTAAGGAATAACCCAATTATCTCCAGGCAGCGGGCACACAATTTCCCCCAAAATTAGAACACCCCTTTCCACACAAGTTATCCCCACATATCCCCTTATAGCCCCGATCTGGGGGACTAACATATCCAAATTTCACCAGATCGGTTCAGGGGTTCTTAAAAAGTATGGAAGTTACAAGTTACCGACCACACACGAGGCTCCTGCCCAAAACAGTTCCACGAATTCAGCGTGTGCGGTCAGTCAATTCAGAAAAAGGCATAAAACGAAAAAAAGTCCTGAATGGATCCTCCTGGCTCATAGGAGTGATTGCTCCCCTTGTCCGTATGAACAAAACTACCGAATGGCGGTCTCCTGGCTGTTCGGCAACTAAAGGAAGCAGGCGTTCGTTTCAGCGGTGGTTCAGGAGGTCGAGTGTCATATTTTAGTTCCAGACACTCGACGACCAAGTCCCGCTGCCTCCTTTCGTGAAAACAAGATGGCCGCCGTTTTCTGTTCCACATGGCATTCGGCTATACGAACAACGGCCGCCCAGAGAGCGCTTAATAGATGGTTCTTTTGAAGTTAATGAGCCAGGAGGGTGGTTGGTGTTCGGTAGTTTTAAACTACCGAACCAATAGATTCAACATGTACAAAATACTGCAGAAAAAAGCCTGAACATAAAATACCGAACTAAGTCTATTTTCTTCACAATTGGTTCTTAAGGGGTTCAATTTCTGTGAGCACATATACAGTACAGTTAACAGTTTGCTCTATGGGCTAGGTTGTGCTAACACAGTGGTAGTCAACCTTTTTCTACCTACCGCCCACTAATGCATCTTTCTTGATGGAAACATTTCCTTACCGCCCACCAGTTTTCATGCAAGTGCAGAATATTTTTTAGAAAGGAGGGTGTTTAAAAAAAAAAAAAAAGAAAATGTACATACATTTATCTTTTTATTTCTACTTCATGCATGTTTACAATGTTTTTAACTTTATGAAGTTTAATGAGAAAACAAAGTAAATTGAAATTACCTTTAACTAGTGATTAATGAGATCCTTGAGGCTGATGCTGCGAGACTAAATATTTGATATGTGGTTCGATTTCCATAAGGAACAAACAAAGTTCTCCTCTTTCGGTGATGTTCAGACGATTTCTCTGTTTGCTCATAATGATTTCTCATCTGTGCATCAGCTCCCCTCCTTAGCCCACTTACTATTATTAGCCAACAACAATTCTCCCCTTTTCCTTCTTTCTCCTTTTTACAAGTACTCTGCTCTTTCTTTGATTATCCCTATAGATTAACATCAATTTTAGTTTTTACTTATTATCTCTCAAGCATTTTGAGAACGCAAGAATATCTGCCAGTCTTTGTAGAAATAGTTTTTCCTGCTCCCCCCCCCCCCCACATATGGTAATTTTTGCTAGTGGAATTAATGTTTACGTTGTGCATGGGAACTCAACCACCTTTATAAACCATTGCAAGTATATTTTGAATATTTGTGGATCCTTTGTTTCACTGTATGGTTTATACTAACTCATCTTTTGTTTACATTGTAGGAGTCCGGTCCCATTATCTTTAGAAAAATATTATATAATTCCACAAATATCAAAGTGAAACGTAAGTACAATTTCTATTTGTGATCAAAGCTAACTGATATTGGTTTTTGCATCTTTTCATTTTTTTTTTTTTAAAAGGAACAGTTTAGGCACCATGAACACTTAATCAAAATGAAGTTGGTATGTCTTAATCTTATTTGTAGAAACAAATTTTAATACAATAATGAGTGGGTTATACTTATTGCTGATTGGTGGGGTAAGGACATGGATACTACAGATTTGTATTCCTAAAGCAGTAGTGTTCCTTTATGCCATGCTCTTTTGTTTATATTTTAATATCTTGTGCTTGCTTAACTTATGTGGCGTGCATGTTTTCTCTCATTTGAATAGTACCACATCATTCCACGTTCTAGTCTTTTGGAAGTTTAAAAGTATAATGAGTTGGTTTTATAATATTCACAATGTATCATCAAATAGTATTGAAAAGGAGAAAAAAAAACAACAAAAACAGGGAGGAGAAGGGGAGGGAAGGGGAAAGGAAAAGATATAACTGTATAGAGAGGGGAATTCACGGTACGCAAGCACAGCTTACCCCTAGTGAGCCCCGGTCAAGGCCCAGATGAGAATAGACGACCACCCCGCAGGGCTCCTAGCCCTCTCGGCTGACTACAGACGAAACACCACAACTGACACCACAATTGACGCGTCAGACTACTACACAGTTCCAGGACTCACATTGCCTCGGTATCACCATAGCCGGCCTTGGGGATGGGGGACGTGGATCATAAAACTAACACACAAACCCCCGAGATATGGGCACCCCTTGACTTGGGACCCTACACTACACCTGGTATCTACACACAGGTGGACTGCGCAATTCCTGCGCCCGGTCCTGTGCAGGTGCGGTCTAGGCCCGATACCCCCCTGACGGACGCCTATTTTGAACTGGTGTGGAGGCAGGTGGGTTGTTCTCCACAGAGTATACTGCACAACGCCCCAGCCACAGGTGTCAAGTCATAGTGGACCCCATCAGGGGGCACCTACCTAAACCTGATAACTAGGAACCCCCCCCTCTTTATTTATTTATTTTTTTCTTCTCCTCCTTGTCTTCTCTTTTCCCAAAAACAGAGCACTTGGTGCCTCCTGCCCTCCTCCCGGGATGGCCGCCCGGCCTCCTCTCCCTCCCCACGGGTCTCGGGTCGTGGGATCTGGATTTGCCCCGGCACCTCTCCGGCTCTGGTCGAACAACGTTCGAGGCCTCAACACGCCTGAACGGAGAACTCAGCTGCTGCGCTCCCTGTGGGCGGAAAGGGCATCAATTGTGTTCCTGCAGGAAACACATCTCAAGGGTGATGGGAGACCGCGGCTGAGAGACTCTAGGTACCCCCAGGGATTCTTTGCAAGCCAACAGACTGCAAAGAGATCCGGGGTCGCAATACTGATAGCGAACACGGTGCCATTTGAATGCACCGGGCAGTTGGCCGATACCATGGGACGCTATCTCTTTATTAAAGGCTCCATCGCAGGTACTACATACACACTAGCAAGCATATATGCCCCTAACGCCCGACAACATAGCTTCCTCAAGAAAACGCTGCATAAACTCGAACAATTCTGAGAAGGACTGCTACTGATAGCGGGAGACATGAATGTCGCGCTGGAGCCGCGAGTGGACACCTCTAGGGGAGTTAGCTCCCTCCCACGTCATAGTCTGCAAGACATCAAAGAGACCCTACGTGGTGCGGGCCTGGTGGACTGCTGGAGAGCTCTTCACCCGAGCGAAAGGGATTATACCTACTACTCCACAGCCCATAAACGATACAGCAGACTGGACTATATCCTTATGGCTCAGGAATTCCTGTCCCTGCTCGTGACGGCCGAGATTAGACCGCTTGAATGGTCGGACCACCACCCCATACTGATGATCATAGACTCCCCCCTACACCGACCCAGGGAGCACCATTGGAGGATGAATGAGTCGGTCCTAGCGGACGCCACAACTGTCGTGGGAATCCGTTCGGTACTGACCACGTTCTTTGACGAAAATGAAGACCGGGATATGCCAGCCCTGACAGTCTGGGAGGCACATAAGTGCGTAGTGCGAGGGCACCTCATTAAACTGTGTACCCAACGTAAGAAGGAACAACGACGGCGTATGGAACAGCTCACCCAACGGATCTCAGAACTAGAGGCGGCTCATAAGTCCACGCAAACGGACGATGCTGGACCCTGCTGGAAGCTAGGAAGGCTCTTCGAGATATACTACACCAGAAGCTCCAACATACTATACGAAAGTCTCTTTTCTATGAATATTCAAATAAATGCGGCTGGCATTTGGCTCGCATGCTCCAGAAGAAATGACGCATGTGCCACATCTCCAAACTTAAAACTAGGGAGCAGACGGTAACCCAGCTCCCGGATAAAATTTTCGAATCATTCCGGGAATACTACCACGCCCTCTACAATCTGCCTACGGAGACCTCCCCTGACTGAATCCACTGCAGAGAGAGACGAATTACGGAATACCTCTAAGAACACGTTACTAAAACGCTGAGCCAGGACACAGCAGAAGCACTAGAGGCACCCATCTCGATGGAGGAGCTTCAAGCGGCGTTGAAGGGCGCTAAACTCAACAAGGCTCCAGGCCTGGACGGATTGCCCATCAAATACATAAAGGAATTTGGGGAGTAACTGCTCCCCAAACTATTGACAGGCCTTAACTCCCTCCTGGAAGTGGGTGCGTTCCCAAGAGACTGTCTCATGGCAACAATAGCAGTACTGCCCAAGGAAGATAAAGACCTGGCCAATTGCGCCAGTTATAGACCGATATCGTTACTAAACGCTGACCTGAAGCTCTTTACGAAGTTTCTGGCTACACGAGTAGGTGGGGTCCTCCCGGAGTTGGTGGGATTCATACCGGGAAGGACAACACCACCCGCGCCCTCAATGTCATCCACGCGGCAACAAGTAAGGCCCAGAAGCTCATATTGCTTTCCACCGACGCAGAAAAAGCGTTCGTGTAGACTGGCGATACTTGATGGCAACGTTACAGGCGATGGGTTTTGGCCCTCAAATGAGGACTTGGATATCCTCACTGTACACGATCCCTACGGCCAGAATACGGGTCAATGGGGCCCTCTCCGTGCCAGTCCACATATATAACGGCACGAGGCAGGGCTGCCCGCTCTCCCCTCTCCTGTTTGCCCTCTCCCTGGAACCATTCCTGGGGGCGGTGTGACAGGACGGGGCAATAGAGGGATTCGCACTGCAGGGAACGATCCATAAGGTGGCTGCATATGCCGATAATGTTATTCTTCGTCAGCAATCCCCTTGTCTCCATACCGAACTTACTGAGAGCTTTTGCAGAATATGGGCGCATATCCAACATGAAACTGAACACAGAAAAATCGGAAGTCATGCCCCTCTCCATGGCAGAAACGAACGTGGCACACCTGAAATCCCAGTTTGCATTCACGTGGTGCCGGACAAAGCTTAAGTACCTCTGGATTTGGCTCACCACGGACCTCTCGCAACTCACGCTGAAAAACGATCTGACAAGATGGTCTGGCTTGTGCGTGTCATGGTTCGGAAGGATGAACGCAGTTAAGATGAATCTATTGCCACGCCTGCTATACCTTTTCCAAACCATACCGATAAGTATACCCTCGACATTCTTTCGACACATGGATACTGCCATCTTTGGTTTTATCTGGCAGACTCGAGCCCTCAGACAACCAAAGGCCCAAGGGGGTGTGGGACTCCCCTCCCTGTTGACCTATTATAGAGCAACGCACTTGCTCCGCATAGTGGATTGGCATGTTCCAAGGACGTGCAAAAAAATGGGTTCATATTGAGCGAGCTCAAGCGGAGGGGACTTTACCGGCAACAATATGGTTGAATGGTCATCTGAGGAGCCCGCGTACCCGGACTCACCCATTCATCGGGGTGACGTTGAGAATCTGGAGCCATATCAACACCAAATTCTCCTTAACCACGGCACCTGGACTGCGGTCCCAATCGCCTATAATCCCGAAGTAGCAGGAGGACTCACGCTGCGGGACATTCGGGACGGCGGATCAGCCACACATGCAACAATGGTGCACACGGGACGCGCTGAAATCGCTACTGGAACGAATACAGGACAGGACCCCGACGGGCATAGAAAGACTATGCTATCTTCAGATTAAAGCTTACTACTTGTCACACAATGGTAAGCGCCTGTTTCACCGGTCGCTAACACAGTTTGAGGAAATCTGCCAATCCAGAGCGCACATAGCCAGAGGCATCTCTATGATCTATGCTCTACTCCAAGATGCTGTTCGACCCGAGCCGGCGAGATATATGGCACGATGGGAGGAAGCCACCGGTGTCCCTCTTACGGAACCACAGTGGATGAAAATCCACATACTAACCAAAGCGCAATGAGCTCTAAACACCAGGAACTCAATTACAAGCTGCTGACCGGGTGGTACAGAAAGCCTGAGAAGATACACAGAATGAATCCGGATGCACCCAACACCTGCTGGAGATGCGGGGAGGAGACGGGATCGGACATCCATATATGGTGGTCATGTAGGCTGATAACCCCGTTCTGGAACCAAGTCCATGAACAGATCAAGACCAACCTAGACTCCGATCTCCAATTTCGACCGCTCCAGATGCTCCTCCACCACACAGAGATGCCCATATCGAGATATAAAAAGTCGCTCACGAAAAACACCTTCTAAATGCAGCCAAATTCCTGATTCCAGCCAACTGGCGGACCGTGGGGACACCCACCATCCAACAATGGATGGACAAGGTAGAGGAAATACACGGGATGGAGACCCTCACAGCGACCCTGAAGGGGACAGTGGACAAATACATGCAGACCTGGACCCGGTGGATGGATTTCACATCACACGACAGGACGTGAGGGTGCCGGACCCCGTGTGCGGCTGGGGGGCGGCGCGGCGGACCCGGGGAGACCATTTTTCTTTTTTTTTTCTTTTTCTCTTTCTCTCTCCCCCTCCTTCCTCTCTCTCCTATATCCACTCCCCCGTCTCTTTTCTGTCCTTCTCCCCCCATATAAGATGAACCGGGTGGACGGAGCCTGCACAGGAGGGGGACCGGGAGAACGACCAAGGACTTCTAAAACACGAAACAAACAATTTAGCGGTCACACCAAGACACAACAAGGGAGGCCTAAAGGCTGGTGAAGGGAGGCAAAACGGGTCCAATAACCCACACAACCGACAAGACAGAATTTGAAGATATAAACAGGACATAGCCGCGAAAGAAGGTACCCCGGGCATAGACGGCAGGCACAGACGGCCACGACCAAGAGAGACAACTCGCCCCAAACCCAAGAACAGGGATTACCATACGGTATAAGAAGTGAGAATAGGGGAAGCATTAATACGCACCTGTGGGCCCCGAGAACCACATAGTAACAGGAGGTAACCCCATATTGAGGTAGCACACAATAAGGCCACACATAAAATGGGTGGATGACTAGCTAATTAGCCTGTTGCCCAGCAATCTCACACAACAGGCTATAACACATAAACAAAGTAGCAATAATAGCTCAAAATCAGCAGTGCAGGAGAATGTGGCATGGTCTGAAGCCAGAGATAACGACCAGCTGCACGATAGGTAAATAGCATAGCATTTAAACAATGTTAGTCAGATATGTTCGCCATGTACAAAAGGGGAAGTTATATGTTCCAACGTTTTACCTTGACATTTTGACTACTTGGCTCTGTAACCAATAAGCATAGTATCTTGTATGACTTTGTGAAAATGAAAATAAAGATTGTCAAATAAAAAAAATAGTATTGAAATGTATGTGTGTGTGTGTGTGTGTGTGTGTGTGTGTATGTATATATGTATGTATGTGTGTGTGTGTATATATGTGTGTATATATATATATATATATATATATATATATATATATATATATATATATATATATATATATATATATATATATATATATATATATATATAAATAATAAACACATACATTGATCAGCCACAACATTAAACTCACTGACAGGTGAAGTGAATAACATTGATTACAATGGCATCTGGAATATATTAGGCAGCAATTGTATAGTCCTTTCTTGAATTTCATGAGCTGGAAGTAGGAAAAATGGACAAGCCACAGACTGGTCAGAGTGTCCATTGATGACCCCTGTATATTACGGAAAGTGCCTTCAATGGGAACGTGAGCTGCAAAACTGGACCATGGATCAATGGAAGAAGGTTGTCTGCTTTGATGAATCATGTTTTCTTTTAGATCAGGTTGATGGCCGGGGACGTATGGGTCGTTCCTGGTGAAGAGATGGTGGCAGAATGCACTATAACAAGAATGCAGGCTGGCAGATACAGTGTTATGTTTTGAGCAATGTTCATCTTGGTTCCTAGCATTCATGTGGATGTTACTTTGACACGTACTACATACCCAGAGTTTGTTACAGAGCATGTACACGTCTTCATGACAATGGTGTTCCTTTGTGGGAGTGACCTCTTTCAATAGGATAATGCACCCAGCCACATTGCAAAAAAAATGTTCAGCAATGGTTTGAAGAACATAGAGTTGAAGGTGTTGCATTGGCCTTCACTTTTTCTAGCTCTCAATCAGATTGAGCATCTGTGGGATTTGCTGGAACAACAAATTCGATCCATGGAGGCCCTACCTCTCAACATGCATGACTTAAAATCTTGGTGCCAGATAACACTGGACATGTTCAGAGGTCTTGTGGAGTCCATGCCTCTCTATACAGCAGAACTGTTGTGGCTGATCAGTGTATAGTTTTTAATTTATTTTACCAAAGTGACAAATGTTGGAATAGGGATTGTGTAAAACAGGGTTTAATGGAGTGCTTAAGTGTCACCAAACCTTTGTTGTCTAGGGAATAGCATTTCACTTGAATATAATATGAAAATATTAGATTAGTCTTGCTATTTCTGTGAAACCGCAAAGCAGGTTTTTCCACAGGGTTACAAAAAGCAGGTAACTTCATAGGATGTATGTAAATACAATACTCACGGAAACAACACCGAGTTTTATAGAGCAAATCAGTCATACAGATCACCCTTGTAAATAATAATAATACACCAAAGTTAAATTAAAGAGTGTTCCTAATTGAGACAAAATGTGGAAACTGAGGAAGAACCAGTTAAAGGTGAACTCCAAACATCATTACCACTACCGACTGCTGTAGTAGTTATGTCAGGAGTACTCTTGCGACCTTCTCCTGGTAATGGTACAACCTGTTTTGTAAATGCCAATCCTGCTCCTCATTGTTTGAGAGCTTAGCTAACCCCTCTAAGCACATCAATAAATGTCTGTGCATTAAAATTTGTAAAGAATTGACATTAGCCAGCATTCAACATGATTCAGCCTGGTGATGCGACTGGAGGTGGAGTTGCACCACTGGCAGCAAAGGGGTTCACCACTATTACTGAAATGGAGTAAAAATTTTATACGTATTTTTGTTTTTTTTAAATCAATTTAGTCACCATTTTTTTTTTTTTTTATTGAATGATGTGTCAGAAGCATAAATGAATAATATCCTTATAAAGGCCCATTCTGTATTTCAAGTTTATTGGTGTTTTTCAGCAAGTAAAAAGACACCATAACCATTAAGTTAATACATCCATATACATTTTTTAAAAAGTGCTCAAGTGAGCAAACAGAGCAACAATTATATCCAAGTATCTAGGGCTACTAGAAACACCAATAGACCACCACCAATATAAATATATATACTTTTTTTTTTTTTTTAATTTTTTTTTTTTTTTTTAGAGAGAGATTGAAGATATACCTACCTTTTAAATGTTGTATTTTGTGGCACTTTCTGCCCTTGCACATGCATGGTGCAGTAACATTTGCTGCAGCAATTTTTGCATGAACGTCTTGCTAGATTTTCTTTATCCTATAAACTCCAAACCTTTGTCCATTGGGGTTTATGGGTTATGCTTTTCATGACATAGGACTGAAAAGCTGAATAGATTAGTAGCTGCTGCAATGGAGAGGACCAGTAAGGAAATGCCTAGTGCAAGCTTTTGATGGATTTGAATAGCAGAAGCAGAAAAATCCTCTCTTGTCACCAGAGAGAGACGATGCAGGGTTAAAGCTGCAGCAGTGTCAATAAAACCTTGCAGTATTATATGCAGGGTTAGGAAATCCTTGCTCCCTAAACTATACAATGGGCATAAATTGTTATGCTGCTTAGTGTCCTTGTAATTTTAATCAAATTAACATGAGAGATTTGTTTTTCAATGAGAAGTTGGTAATCATTTTTGTGACACTCTTTCACAAGTTTCACTATTCAAGGGAAATTGCTCAGCCACTTTCTGTGTAATGATGGCACAGAATGAACGTTAATGAAAAGGGTGTGTGTGCCATGAGTTAGGATGTAACTTTTTTTATTTAACCTCTCAAATTGAAAAATTCTCCAATATTTGTAAATCATCATAATCTCCCTCAGTACAGCCCTGCAAGTACATGAAATCACTACCTTCTCCTAATCCGGTCATTTTGTCCCAGTTTTAATAGTACAAATTAAGCATATAGTGGTCTGTATGTGTATATAATTATTTACAGCTGGGAACAACTCAACCTACAATTAAGCTTGATAAATAGCAAATCTAAAATATTCGAATACGATAGTGCACATAACAGAACTACTAATCAGAAACCCGATAACTCATGAAGATGGGTACAAAGTAGCAAAAGGATTTGTTAAGTAACAAAGTAGTAAGGGTAAAATGGTTACTGCTTACAGACTCAAGTGCAAGCCACAATAATATAACTAGACTAGCCTAAGTGGCAAACACCAGTAATATTAAATGATAGTAATGTAAAATACTGCTACTCCTACTAATCAGACAGAATAATGTACTTTTATCTATAGCGAAAAATCTAATGTGTTTAAAACATCATGCCATTTGAACTCCAATCTTTTAGTCACAATGTAGGGCATAGTGGACTACCCATACAGTTCCACCAAAAAGGGAAATTATTGTTACGGTTATGGAAATTAAAATCTACGAATGAACCATAAGACTGTCATCTCCTGTTTATGCTCAATTAGACCAAGGACAGAACTTGTTCAATTGCCACTGTACTTAAGGTGCTAAACAATTGTTGCATATGGGTGTTGGGGTGCAAAATTAAGGTGAAAAATATGAAGGGATCGAAGTTCTTTCTAAATGCACTGTGTATAAAATACCACCCAGAGTTTGCGAGTTAATTTTATTTATATATAATTGCCTTTAAGTATTATACTTGTTCATACCAGATCATCTCTTTATTTTTATCTGTGTTTTACCAGTCCTCTCACCGAACTGTCAAGATCCTGTGAAACTTATTGTGAAATGGTACCTAAATTACCACCAGTGCTACAATCAATATGTTAACCTTGACGTAAGTAGTGTGCGCGCAAAATATAATGATGAAAATAGTCTTTTTAGTTTAAAAAAAAAAAAGCAATTAAAGATGGGTGCATTGGTAGATCTGGTTAGTAACCATGGACCAAAGCCTTCCAATTTACTGACACAGCCATGTGGTAGTTGTTTTGAAACCTCCTTTCTTTCTTTCTTAGGAGGTCATGCAAAGACGTTTGAGTGAACTACGAATTGAAGATCTTTGTGATAACATTCTCCAGCAAGATCAATGCTTTAAGTATGAAAATGCTGATGCAATAGAGTGCAGCAAGAACACCCAGACGTTACCCATGCTGCGAGTGAGTATTTCATCCCATATTTCTTAATTTCCCATGTACTCATACTTGATGCTGTGAGCACACACATGCACAAGCATTCTACAGCACCAAGTGATAAGCAAAACCTAGTGCAATGTCAAGAATGGAGGACATGCAAGTTGTGATTTCCAAAGGTTCCATCAAATAACTGCTTCACAATACCAGCAATGTACAAGCTCTTTCCATCAAATTATGGACTTGGCAACATTTTGACCCGATGGGTGTATGGCAAGCCTGGTAACCGTTTGAACTGCTAGAAAGATTTATTTTGGCAAAAACAATACCTTTAGCAGGTCAGAATATTGTCTGGTCCATACATTGGTGGCAGAAATTTCTGGCTGTGCCAGGACTCAAGTGGCTTGTGATGTCCATAGATACTACTTATAACATTAAAAAAAAATACAACCCACAACCTCAGATCTGACATACAAATTAAAGATTATTTTCAGTATTCTTTATTCAGTACTATAAATTCACTGTGCACACTTTTATGCACTGTTTTCCTTGTGCTTTTGTGATTAAATATCTTTTGTTTTGACTTCTGTTTGTGTGCCCCAATGTAGCATACCATTTGCAAAAGTAGACCACCGAAGGTATTACAAATGGGTTATGTCCAGTCTTTTTTTTTTTTTTTTTTTTTAGCGACTTAGTCACAAACACTGGTCAAAGTACCTTGGGTAGTATACTTTGTAAATGGTATGCCATCATGGGGGTAATTCGTATTCCTGGGCTACCATACGGTCTCAATGGCAACAAAACCAATCTGGCAAATTTCAGTGTGGGAAAAAACTGAAATGCAAGCCCTTTATTTGACTGTGACTTTTGAAAACACCATAAAACCTGTACATAGGGATCCTGTTCTACTCAGGTGACTTCGCTGAACAGAAATATTACTGTTTTAAAACCGTAAAACGTATCACAACAATATCTTCAGTGGAAGTGCCGTTTGTGTGTGAAAAATGCAAAAAATGGCCCTTTCACAAACAATATCATCATTGTGATAGGTTTTACTGTTTTGAAACACTAATATTTGTGTTTAGTGAAGTCTCCCAGGTAAAACAGTACCCCCCATGTACAGGTTTTATGGTGTCCTGGAAAGTTACAGGGTTAAATATAGGGCTTTTGAACCACATTCTGTGGACTTTTTGCCCTCAAATCGTAATGAATAAAATGACTTAAGTAAAAATATTACATAAACTTATACGTAGAATTTAAATAGATAGTACACCCGCCGTCCTTAAGGGGTTAAGCATTCTGGATATGTCAGTAAAACTTAGTTGTTTAGACCAGGGGTTACCAACGCAGTCCTCAAGTACCCCTTAACAGGCCAGGATTAAGGGATTACCCTGTGGTGTCTAAAGTGTCGTTTTTAGAAGGAAAAAAAACAAAACTGACATAATTGGGTAATCCCTAAATCCTGGCCTGTTAGGGGGTACTTGAGGAGTGGATTGGGAACCACTGGTTTAGACCGTTTCTTATGCCTAGTTATTACATTTATCTATACAATAATGTAATATGTTAACTCTCTGCAGCGTGTGTGTGTGTGTGTCTCTCTATAGAATATATATTTTAGGAGTATTAAATCGCATCAGGTCAGTTAAGTCACGCTGGTTCCCATCTGTCACCCTAGTAAAAATAATTTAGTTTTACATTGCACACTTTATATTGCGTCTTTTAGAGGAGTGCAATTTGTAAGCCTTTTAATGGCTTTATTTTTCAACGTATTTATATGAGAATAGGCTTTAGTTATTATATAAAAGTGTGTGTGTGTGTGTGTGTGTGTGTGTGTGTGTGTATGTATGTATGTGTATATGTATATATATATATATATATATATATATATATATATATATATATATATATATATATATATATATATATATATTTATATTTTCAAAGATATATTATCTAATTTTGTGTGAAGAGTGTTTTTGGTTAGGTTGGCACTGCCAGTTAAGTATTAACCCCAAAAAAAAAACCAGGGCACATATACCCAAGATAGACGCAACTCACCACACTAGACACCAGCTCTCACACGTATCTTCGATTACCCCTATGCCAGCACACCCAACTACAATTAGACTAAGTGCAATGATTTGAGACCGGGAACTTGTTCTATAAAGGGAAGGCAAAAAACTAGACAGAGCAGCTCACATATGCTATCAACACCCACCGATGCCAAGGGAAGGGGCAGAGAATGGTAAACGGCTATTGGTCTGAAAGACCACAGAGAGACTGAGGCGAGACACTGAGCACATAGGAAAATCAGGGCAAAGGGACAACATGAGAAATGTTTTGTACTCGAAATGGCTAGTGTTATGTAGCTATATTGTGTCATGTTACTATCTTGTATTGTTATGTTTTGTTACTACCAACCTACGCCATCGCCCACTTAGACCAACCGCCGACCATCCTCTCTCCACCCACCAATGCAAGGGAACAAGAACCCCCCGAAACAAAAAATAAATAAAAAACACCTTGACATGAACTAGAAAGACAGGAAACGTATCATTGGTCAGCAGGAATGTCCATGGGTTTAGGTCTACCAGTCTATGTAGTATTTGTGATATTAGTGTTTGGACGCCTTTTCAGAAGGGTTTAATTGTGGGGCAGGACCACCACATGTGGGTGTATGTCCCTTTTTCTCCGCAGTTACGCCAGCAGAGATCCGTAGGTGTTTTTTTCATGTGGTACAATTGGACCGGGGTAATGTACCATCCAAGCATTGTTTTATGTGCCTGTTCCTGCATCGTGACGCAGATGGAGGTTTTGGTGTTGGCTTCCCATATATCCTGTCAGTCAATACCCTCTAAAGATTCCCCCAAGTCGGTTTCCCATTTGTCGGTGTATTGCAGTTCTCCCCACTCCCGTGTGGTGGAACAGAGGTGCGAGTACAGTTGGGTGATCATGCCTCTTTGATATTGTTCCGTAAGGCAGATTCGCTCAAAGAAAGTCGGTTTGGTTTTGGAGGCAGTTTTCACCGTTGCTTGGGCTGCATAGTTTTTGAGTTGTAAATATCTAAAGTAGTCGGCTGGTGTCAAGGTTGTTCTGGATTGTAGGTCTGGGAAGAGGATTATCGTGTCACCCGTATATAGTTGGTATACCCTCTGAAGGCCGGCTTGCTCTAGGCCTTTGAAGTCCCACAGTCTCATGCCTGGTGTGAAGAGGGGTAAGAGGGGAGGTTGTAGAAGTTAATTCGTATTTAAGGGCATATTTGTCCCATAATTTAATTGAATTGGTAATGGCTGGGCATGCTGTTCCCGGGAGTGCCCTGTGCTCTTTTGGCATCCAGATGTAGAATTGTGGGAGATCGGATCTCATAAGACACTATTCCAGATCCACCCACCTTCTAGTCTCCGGGGGGGTATGCCATAAGGCCATTTGTGCCATCTGGGCAGCTATGTAATAGAAGTGTAGATGGGGTAGACCTAGGCCACCTCTTGATTTGGGGCGATATAGTATGTTACGGGCTACTGTGTGTCTCTTATTCTGCCACATAAATCTATCAATTGCCTGTTGTAGAGGGATGAGATTGTGTTTTGTGATGGGATGGGTATGGCCTGGAATAGAAATAAAATTCGGGGTAAGACATTCATCTTAATTGAGTGTATTCTTCCTATCCAAGATATGGGTTTGTCCACCCAGGTCTCCATGTCCGAGATGAGTTTGTCTATTATGGGTGTGTAGTTTAATCTGTGGAGTGCAGTAGGGTCTGTTGGTAATTTAATACCAAGGTATGTAAGGAACATTGGTGTAACGTGTATGTGGTGGTCTGAGGTGATGTTGGCTGTGTCCATCTGTGAGAGGTTTATGGGGAGTGCACTGGATTTTTCCACGTTTACTTTGTATCCTGAGAGCTCACCGTATGTTCTCAGGAGTGGGAGCAGTGCCCGCATCGTGGGAATAGGTTCGGTTAGGGTCAACATGATATTGTCTGCGTATCCAGATACTAGGAATTCTTGGTCCTCTATTTTAACCCTTTTAATTTGGGGATGTTCCCTAATGGCTTGGAGGAGCGGTTCGAGAGTCAGCACAAAGAGTAGCGGGGATAGGGGGCATCCCTGTCGGTTGCCGTTGGTTATGTTGAATGACGGGCAGGTCGTCCCGGTTATCTTTATTTGTGCTGAAACATTCGTGTATAATGCGCGTACCGCTGTGATATACAGGGGGGGCATGTTCAAATGTTCTAAGAGTGCGAACATGTAGGGCCATTTTACGCGATCAAACGCTTTTTCTGCGTCAAGTGAAAGCACTAAAGATGTTTTTTTGCGGTTGCTAGCATCCAGATTATGTCAATGTTTTGTCTTGTATTTTCAAATAACTGTCGTCCGGGTATGAAGCCTACCTGATCGGCGTGAACTAAATGTGTTAGGTATGGGTTTAGTCTGCTTGCTAGGATTTTGGCAAAGATTTTACTGTCATGGTTTTGTGGGCTGCCCATACCGTGGTCATGGGGATATCTGGTGTTAGGTTTTCTGTAAAGTATGTGTTTATCTGTTTTTTGAATGTCGTCAACGAACTGGGCATCTTTGAGGAGGGACGTGTTGAGTTTCCACATCCACGGGGTAGGGCTATGGAGGCCGTTAAGGTAGACTGCGATGCCTATTTCAGTTTGTGTTTTTGTGTAGCCTGCGTGGTTGGTTAAGAACATGTCTATGGGTGAGTATGTGTCATGGGGCGGCGAGTAATAGGTGTAATCTTTGTGGCAGGGGTGTTGTGCCCTCCATGCGTCGATGAGGCCTGTTTTACGGATGAAGTGGTGTAGCTGTTTGTCTTGTGCGCCCATGCCATGGGATCTGATCAGCCCTGGGCGTGAACTTCTATCTGCTGTTGGGGCGGGAGTGGCATTTAGGTCGCCTCTGCGGCTAGGCGGTATGTGTTATCATGGAGGGAGACCTGTGCGGATCGAGATAGGTGTGTCTCCTGTATGAATCCTATGTCAGGATTTAATCTTTTTAATTCTCTAAAGAGTGTGCGTCGCTTGTGTGGGGCATTGAGGCCTTTAACATTTAGTGAGGATACTTTAAGGGCCATTGTCTTTGAGTTACGGTGTGTGCTCGTGGCCTCGATAGATGTTCGGGTGGCTCTGGAGTTTTGCTGCGGTGGGACTGGTACATGTGTGTTTTGGGGGGAGGGGTTTACTCCCACCTCTGTTCTCTTGATTCACTTTTTGGGTGTGGGTTTGAGGATGCATAAATATCGCCTCAATCTTTGTCCAAGACGTGTGGGTGTAGGGTGGGTGGGGTGTACGGGTGGGAGTTGATTAGAGAAAATAAAAGAAGGTGAGGGAGACAGGGAAAGGAGCGAGTACGGTATTGCCATACGTGTCTGGTCTTATCCCGTGCCAGACCGTTGGGGGTGTATGGACCCTCGTCTCCGCCAGGACTATGTCAGTCTAGGAGTAGTGGGTCATGAACCCGTTTGGCGGTGTGGCCCCCTAATACCATGTAACATCCGTCAATTGGGTCATTATTGTGCAGTGCACTATTTAATATAACCATGTAGCTAATTTGGCTTCCCAGCCTCTATTCCTGTGGCATTAGGTTTTTTATGGCTAGTTGGTGAAGTTGGGAGCTCTTGAGTGTTGCTGCTTAGCGGTGTTGTCCACGAAATGGGGTGGAGGGAGGAGAGTCTTTGTAGGGTGAGACTATTCGAGATACACCTTCTGGTCTGTGATGGTTTTCCTGCTGGGGATCATATTGGTGAATGAGTCGGGGGGCCAAACCCCTCGACAATTGGCCCAGACCAGAACAACAATTGCTAAACAAAATAGCATTGGCAGCTAGGAAAGCCCTAGCCCAAACATGGTTACGACCCACCTTTAACAAAATTAAAGAGTGTCACCTCATGTATAAATTGACGGCCCAAATAAGAGGCTCAATGAAAACATTCACTTAGACATGGGAAAATTACATCGACAAACAATAAATCACAAAAGACGACCAAGACCCCCCCCCCACTCCCTATCATTAGGCCGAGTCAACTGGTACCCCGGCCTATAAGTACAACACCAAAGCCACCAAAATAAGATGGCAACTTAAACATACTGTAATGATATATTATTCGTGTTTTACATTACTGCTTGTTGTTCTTTTCATTCACATTACTTATAAAACCAATGACAGACCGATCTTAAGTACAGATGATGAACACAAAATGCCATGAAAACCTCATGAACTACCTAACAGCAATACATACTTATTGAATTTCCAATGAGGCTTCTGGCAAGCCATATGATTGCATTATGTAATTTTCTCTGTCATTGCAAAAATAAAGAATTATTAAAAAAAAAAAAAAAAACAACCTGGTAACCACTTTACTACTTTTTTTTTTTTTTTTTATTGAATTCTTTGTTAAAATAAGCGTAGTGGTTACAGAAGGTACATGTTGGTAAGTATCAAATGTGCTAGTACCAGCAAGTACAATATTTAACATGGTAAAGGTACAACGATAATTGCAGGTTATGCACGGTACAATTTTTAGAACAAGTCACGTATTTAGCTTTTTGTGTTATTACTTTACAGTGTGTGGACATTGTGCGTCTAGTAGGTATATCAAGTAGAGCTGCGTTTTAGGTGTAGCTTTGTTTAATACTACAATTTTAGGATTTGTGCCATGAAAGGTGTGCACAACCCTGCTTTCGTCCTTCTCCTAAGGAGGCGTAATTTGTACCTCAACTCCGGTTAACCGCTAAGATAGACATGTTTAACAGAAACAAAAAGGGGTTATGAAAAGGAGGGGAGAAGGGATTGGTTTCACTCCAGTGACTCACTTGAAACTGTGAGCTTATTTTGCATCTTACATATCTTTAACCTAATTAAGAGGACTAAAATAGCTGCCTTGTGCCTGATTTCCCTATGCTCCTGCCGTATAACCCCAGCCCTGCGTGGGTAAATTAAGCATAGCGGTTATTGAAAAGCAGAGGGCCTATTAATAAGCATCTCATATGCCAGGTATCATACACCCTGGTGCCAGCATGCACAAATTTTTAACATGGTACAGGTATATCAAGGGTGCATGATATGACGTAATACAACTTGTGGTTCTCATTGCATGAATCACTTATTTGTGAAATGTTATGTTGCATGATCCTTATACATGTAGAAGGTACATCGGGTAGAGCTACATTATGGGTTCAGCATCGATTAATACTTCAACCGCAAAGGTTGTACAGTGAGGAGCTTTTGTCGTCATCAGTATCATTGGTTGTTTGACCGCTAAGACGGAGAGGGATTGGTAGGTAAAAGAAAAAGAGAGAAAAAGGAGGGGGGAAAGCTAGGGGGAGGGTTGGTTTCACTCCATAGACACCCTGGAGATCATGAGCTAATTTTACCTCATGCATAACTTTAGCTAGCATGACTAAGATGACTGCCCCAGGTCAGATTTCCCCGTCCCACTATCTAGCCGTCCTCAGCCCTGGGTTGGTCAGTAGCGAGTACAATGCGCCTAGTTGTTCATTCGCCACCTTGGTCAGTAAACAGTGCCTAGGGAGCTAGTAAATTAGCGCAGTGCCCCTCATATATGGGTTAAAAGTGGTACGCCCGACTCTGGGTCTCCCATCTTTCCCTAACTGTCTAGGAGGAATTGATCCCTTATCCCATCCCAGGCGCCCCACCTTTGTTGATGATGGGAATGTTTACTCTGCAGGGTTAAGGACATTTTTTTCATATGAGCATATAGAATTCTTTTTGTTCTTCCTCTGGTTCACCAAGAGCCGAATTACATAAGGACAGGGATTTTAAATGTGTTGCTCCCTTTTTAAGGAGATTAAACAACCTATGCGCGGCTGATTGTGCCTGGGGTTCCATTTGTCGGGAGAGGAAGATACTTTTAATGCGAATGTATGTAAATGGTTCCCGATGAGCTAATGGGAATTAATTTTGCAAATCCGGGAATTGTTTAATTCCTCGTAAGTCGTACAAATCAGAGACTTTTGCTATGTCCTCTTGCTCCAAGACCCCCCTGGGTGACCACTTTACTTCTGATAGACGTGAAGGTAAATTTTAAAAATAAATAATGGGGAAAAAAAAATGTATTCCGAAAACATGCATCCGCTGAGGTTGCAGAATGTCGGAGAAACTATAAACAAGTAGTGTAATAAGCTTCTATAGTTCTCCCCGTGTGTCCTGTCCTGTCCTAATGCAGCTTGCTTTGTAATTCCAATCATACGTTGCTTTCAGTGGCTCTGTGAATACATTTTATAAAGCAGTCTTTCTGGCATGAGAAAGCTTAGCTAATAAGGCCGACCTATGCACCATTATGCAAAACAATGTATTCCTTTTTTTGTGCAAAATCTAGAGATTTAGGCATGCAAAAAGATACATATTAAAACCTATCAAATGCATTAAAGTTGTTTTTGTGCTTGCTTGGAGTGTCCCGTGGCAGTTCCTAGGTTTCTGTGTGCTTTCTTAAAATGACAATGGAGGCAGTATATCTCTTTCTATGTGTAATATCTATCAAAATATATTATCTCTTCCAACTACAGTTTTGATTGAAAACTGTTATCGTTGTCTCCTTAATAAAGAAAACATTATGAAAAAAATTTACATTTAAAAGTGTATATAAAAAAAACACACATACTGACACATCCTAATTACTAACACAAGTTATCTTTTTTCCTTCCAATGTGAATGGAGTCAAGTTCTTTAATCTATCCTGTAATTACCACTTTACCAAACTTGATAGAGAAAGAACGTCACATAGCTCATTTAGATAATATCCAAATATAGCAGGCAGAACAAGTGGAACCATCTACCTTCTTGGATATTGTTGTGTGAGACTAATAAACACTCTTCATAGGGCAAATAGCCTAGAACAATTTACGATCTCCTCACTTCTTTGGAAATTAAACAAACAACACTTTTCAATAGCATGTTAAGCACATTTTCGATCACACCCTATTTTCTACTGTACTTCTTATGTAAATAATGCCAAACCGTTATCCTTTTTAGTATTGTATTAATAGTTTGGCATTGCGCTCTTAATAAAAACAGCAGTTTGTGCTTCTGTTATGCAAGACACTGACTGTGGCCTTTTAATCACATGAAATAATATATTTTTTATTTTTTTTTAATGCTTAAATTTACCATGAACTAACAAATACATTATGCATTCTGGCAATGGTGTGATAGTCTGTGAAGTCTGCTTTAAACCAATGGTTAAATAATGTTCTCACTGCTTTATCAGTTTTCAGTTCATATGAACTCCCTATGTAGTGGTAAACGTTAAAATGCATTTTTTTTTTCATTTTCCAAAGGCAAAAAATACTCCTACAGCAAGTGTCAGCAAATCAAAAGAACTGAAAGAAACACCGGTGAGGAAGTATTTGTAATGAATGTGATGTTTATAGATTATCTAAATGAATCACCAGTAATTATTGTTTAGTGTACCCATTAATATTTAAAGTAGATTTGTCATACAAATATTGGCACCAGCGTAACGAGGCTGTGTTGGTTTATAGATCATGCCCATGCAGTCTCAAAGGTTCACTTCTGTCATTTAGGAGTTAAATGTCTTTGTTTTATACAGCCCTAGTCACACCTCCCTACATGTGACTTGTACAGCTTTTCTAAACACTTCCTGTAATGAGAGATGTATTGTTGAGACTTCCTTTGTTGGATAGTCTCAGGGCCAAAAAAAAAATAAAAAATTGGCTTCCCCATTCACTCCACAGTGGTCCTGTAGGTGTAATCCCACAAGATAAAACCTTGCCTCAGCTTGAAGATTAAACAAGCCTCTAGTAGCTGTCACACTGAGACCCCTCTGCTATAATGCCATGTTTAACTACACAAAGCGTTGAAAGTGCATAGCGATTGCCACTTTGCCACATTTAGCGATTGCGCATCAGTGAGGTGAGAAGGCAAGCAGAGAGTTCCCCCCCCTTAAAAAAAAAAATACAAAATCATTTTTAAGGTATGCGGCCTGAATTTATCTAAGGACAGAGACACTATAATGTTCGGGAATACAGGTTTATATTCCTAACTCCATAGTATTTAGTGTTCCAAAGAGTATTGATTTTTAAAAAATTTTTTTTATTAAATTGGTCCTTTTTGCTCAAATACTATCACGGATACTACATACATATAAACAATCATACACTTAGTCACACTCAATGGTCCACACAATCACATACTGATCCAGTCACACACAAAATACTGATCAAGGCTCGCACACACAGTCCTAAGCACACACATAAAATACTGATCCAGACCACAAGCAACACTGACCCAAGCAGGCACAGGCACACACACACACACACACAAACATACTGACTGAAACAGGCTGACACACACACACACACACACACACACCATGAAGTCCCCCATTTACCCTTATTTCAAATGGTCTCTCTGTAGATCTCAGTCCAGGCCTGGCTAACTTGACTCTTAAAGCTCTACCCCTGCTATCCTCCAGCCTACTTGACAGGGCAAGGGGTGGGAGCGATTGTATGATGCACTTGTGCGCTGCAGGCATATGAGAGATGTGTAGGGGGAAGCTTTCAGATTTTTGTGTGCTGGGGTTGAAGGCCCCGGGCGCTAGTTTGCAGCTATGTAAGTGCTCCCTAGCGCTTGGTGGCATGATCTGCAACACGGAAAATAGAATGTGTCCCACATAGAGGTGTGCTTCTTATGGGCGCTCACCTCCCCCCCTCTTAAGAAGCACCCTAGGCGGCTGCGCCGGCCATGGATAGTGTGTTTAATTTAAAATATCTTATCTCCTGTTCTGTTAACACCCTTCTAGAGCCTTCCTTTGTGTGTTTTTTTTTTTTTTTTTTTTTTACAGGGCAGGAGATTTAAAAAGTCTAAAGCAAGTTGACATCTGATTGAAAATGAAACCATTTTTTTATGGAAGCTGTGTGAGTCACAGCCACTGGAGGTGTGACTAGGGCTGCATAAAAAGAAACCGTGATTTAAATCCAAAATGTCAGAGAATTGAGTAGTGAGACTGCAGAGACATGATCTATACATCAAAACTGCTTCATTAAGCTAAACTTGTTTTGATGCCTATAGTATCCCTTTAATCTGTACATTGTTTTGGTTAATTTCTGAACTGGAAATCAAGAAGAAATGACAATGCAAATTAATTTATTTATTTTTAAAGCCAACATTGCAAAAATAGTTGATTTGGGGAATGTTTCTAGTTCTGTCTTTCTTGGCTAAGAATCTATATTTTCCTTTTCAGTTTAGTGGAATAAAAGAAACCTATTTGATAGTTGATTATTTCAGTATATAAATGATCTGATTTCACTGGCACGAAGTATACATTGCATTTTATAGCTTGCTTTGTGCTGGAGCGTGTGACCTGCAGGTTTGTGGCTGAAATGTCTTTGAAAAAAATTAATCGAATATAATTTTGAAAACCTTCAATACATTTATTTAGAGAACATACTTCCCTTTCCCCTAAATGGATCTTCTCTGCCTCAGTGTATTAAGTGTGAGCTAGTCAGGGCCAAAAGCAGTATTCATTATTAAAGAATAGTTTTGTATGTTATTTTCTTTTGTTTGTTTGTGTTTTTGTTTTTTTGTTTTTTTTTTTAATAAAATTCTTCAAATGAAGAAAAATACTTAAAAAATTGTAAAAAAAAACAAAAAAAAAAACACACCAGTTTTTATGCAGTCCTACCTTGCAAGTATTTCTCTGTTGGATCAAAACCAGAATTCTCGTGTCACCTCACAATGTTCAGAATATAAGTATTTGTGGGAGTAGTTAGACTACTGTAGCTGTAAAATTCTAAATATTGTGTAAGAAAACTATGTTGATCTAAAAGTTGACCTTTTGGCTCGGGCAATATTTTTCTCCAACAGACGCCTGATCTCGAACAGAAAATTGACCAGTGGTTACATAACATATCACTGCTTTTGACAGCTCTAAAATTTATTTTTTATTTTCAAAGGCAAAGTCTAAACCTGAAGAAAATGACAAGAAATCAAACCCAGAGAAAGGAACACAGGTAAGCCAATATTTCTATATTTATTACTAGGCTGTAAAACCTCTTGGGCATTCTAAGCACCATAACGACTACATCCAGTTGTATGGGGTTGTAGGGCAACTACCCAGCAGCCGCTGTCCCACAGTTCTGGGTAAAATTATTCTCTATCAGTTTGACAAAAAATCTGAAGCCCATCCCTTGCTTGCCCATTTTGCTAATCAGGAAGTTCCAGTTCCTCAATGGCAATATCAATTTAATCTGTATTTAGAGGGCATTGATAGTTTGCTAACAAATGCATTTCATATATGGAATAATTGATATTGCTAATCCGCTAGTGGACTTTCTGCATTAGTGCTTGTGTAAGTGTGGGGCTGCTGGAGGCCCCAAGTTTTGGTCAAACAGTGTGACCAAGAATTGTATGTTTGACAAAATCCAGACATCCTTGTGCAAGTAGACTGCACCTTTAACCCATATCATGCCAACAATTAATGCGATCTGAAGACTATCTCCACAATTTCAGATATTCAAAAAAGTAAAAACAGACAGATATAGACAATCCATATAGACCATAAAATCCCTTTAACAGCCAATATATTAAAAACAAGCCTCTAGTGATCCTTTTAAAGAATGCTATTTTTCTTAATTGACCATGCCTCGACAAAATGCCACACAGAACATTTGGTCCTTTATCGAGTGGTTGTACCATTAGTGCGGTACACATGCACATAATCCTTTTTTGCCCTATAAGTGGACTTTGTGAACATGGTTCCCACATATTTTAGGACCAATTTAACTAAAGCCTGTAAGTTTGTTTGAACAGGCCTCTCTCCACAGTCTATTCCTGTTTGCCTTATTGCAACAGTTTCTTTTGTTCATTCACCTATTATATATTGGCACTTTTTATAAACAATAACTTATTTTCTGCCTCGGTAGCAGTTTTCAAGGAAAAGTCTACAAAAATGTTAAATAATTTATATATTCATGCTAAGCTAAACCGGAATTATTATAAATAATCAATCCAAATCTGTCTTGAGCATATTAAAGGTTAGAAAAATTTCATTCCATCTTCAATTTGACAGCGTTTCTCTCTATGTGAAATGCTAATATCCATTGCTGTGTATATAGATTTATTACATTTGTGCTACTTGTCTTTATATTATATGGTGTATATAGATTAATTCAGAATCTCCTATTTTGTATTTTATGTAATTCAATAAAGATTATTTTTATACATTCAAGATATGGTTTTCTGCTGATTTGTGTCATAGGATTCTCTAAAAGATGCCTATTCTTGAACAGAAATATGAGGTTTGATAACTTATCACTAACTAAAGGGTTACTCAGAGCACCATGACCACTTCAGTGATTTGCAGTGGTCTTGGTACCTAGAGCATGTATGTGCAGCATTCTTTGCTTTGAAACGCTGCACATATGGATATTAACCACTCTGCTGCTGAGTGTTACTCCACCTCTGACCTTGTCACTAGCTCAAAACTGGAATTCCGGGCTGGCTAATGTCAATTTTGTGCAATTGTTTGTTTGTTGGGTTTTTTTGCGGACAGGATTGCATAGATTGGCTGGAAAAGTATCATGTGATGTTCTCCGCCAATAAATGCCTACGACATCAGCTTCTGACTACTGTATCTTTGCAGAAGCTGGAATATTGTCCCCAGGCAGGAGAGACTAGGAGCTCCGTGGGGACCCAGATAACAGGGGCAAACCATTACTATACATTTTGCTCCATTACCGGGAAACCGTTCCAGAAGTATCATAACCGTACTCAGGGTATCATAACCACTACAGTGGGCAGCAGTGGTTATGATGCTTGACATAACTTTTATTCACAGTTTCTGGTATCTACAGTCTTTTGGCAGTTGTAAAATGTATGTTATAAAATAATAACGATATATTTCTTTCTTTCTTCAAAGGCAAAATCTAAACCTGAAACCAATTCTAAACCAGCAGCAAATGACGCCAATCCAAATGCTCAGAAAGGAACGCAGGTTAGCAAGTATTTTAATGTCTGCCAAATATCTTGCTTAGGTCACAACAGTTGTTGTTTAGGTGTGACAAGGCCAAATTATTTTTAAATAGCACAGTAATCGCTATGCATCCCAATATCTGTCATTCATACATGTCGTGGTTACACTTTTTTTTTTTTTTTTAAGTCTTTATTTTTGCACACGATAGGCAATGCAAGAATAATACAACTTGGAGGCTTGCGCAGAAGCCAAAATATAAAAGAGCATATTTATAGACATATAAATAAACACATATGGCAAGCCACTTTATAGTTTCCATACAACTTGCCTCCCATCGAGGATTGTTTTTTTATGGCTACATCACTTAAATTCCCAATTTTACGTACGATAGGCATAGCAAGAGCAATACAACTGTGAGGCTCGCGCAGGAGCCTAAATGCTAGTAATCAGACTTGAAAAAATGAAATAAGACAATAGCCCAAAAGACAAGCCTCTTAATGAATGCTATTCCACTAGCCTCCCGTCATTGATATTGTATCTTTTAGTCAGGCCCTGCATCCTGAGAAGGAGCCCTAACTCCATCCATGTCTGGGTGTACTTTAGGCATCCTCAATTCTCAGTCAGTATGCTCATGCCTGAGTGAGGAAAGTAAGTTATGCCACCATAGACTGAGACAGTGTTAGAAATAAGGAAGTAAAAAAAAAAGAAAAAGATATCCTTGTAAGCCAAGGGTTTAGTAACAAGATGTAGAACACGTGAAAAAGAAAGATAGAGGAAGAGGGGTTAAGAAGACGAGAAAGATGTGAGTATGAAGGGTAGGGAGGATGGCATGGGGGGGATGGAGGGGGTGGGGGGGGAGGCGAACGAGGCTGAGGTATTTCATTCCGACTCTGACCTTGCAGTGTCGGAACCCGATTTAAACTATATATTCGGCCCATCAATCGTGACCAGAGCCCATTGCACTATTGTCCCATGGTTCCCAAACCCTCTGTAAAGTTACGATTGTTCCTCTTAATCTAGCAGTCAGATCTTCCATGATTCTGTTTTCCTTTATCCTAGAGATCACTCCCCCAAACTCCGGGCCTCCAGGTGACAACCACGCCGTTGCCACAGCTCTGCGTGCACTTAAAGTTATCGCCCGTACCAGTTTCTGCTCTCTTCTCGTCTATCCCTCAATAGATCTATTTAACAGGTAGATCCATGGGTCCAAGGCCAGGGGTTTGCCAAACGTCTGCTTCAAGAGGTCTTCAACAGACTTCCAGAAACCGCGGATTTTCGGGCATTCCCACCACATGTGGAGGTACGTGCCTCGGAATCCGCAACCCCTCCAGCATTCGTCAGTATCTATCTTGTGCATTTTGTGCAAGGTTATCGGAGTAGTATACCACCTGAGCATGGTTTTCCATGCCTGCTCCTGTTGCGTGACACATATCGAAGTGCTCTTGGTTGCCTCCCAGATCTCCTGCCATTCGATTCCTTCCAGTTCCTCCCCTAGGTCCGACTCCCATCTATCAGTGTATTTCAATCTACCCCATTCTTTAGTCTCCGTGCTGAGATGAGCATACAGAAGCGTAATCATTCCTTTGGGGGCTGATCCCTCTCTACATAGCCTCTCGTAAAAAGTAAACTGTCCCTGGGCTGCAGCTTTAATACGGGGTCTTCTAGCGAAGTCCCTTATCTGGACATATCTAAAGTAGTCTGCTGGAGTCAGGTGGGTATGTTGTTGGAGGTCTTGAAAGGGTATAACATCCCCCTCTCTATATAGTTGGTAAATCTGCTGTAGCCCAGTCTTTTCTATATTTCGAAAGTTCCTAGGGGCCATACCAGGTGGAAACTCTCTGTTTCTGAGTATCGGAGCCATAGGGGAGGGGGATGAAGCAAGTCCAAATTTGACACTGTTCGCATCCCATAATCGAAGAGAGTTAAGGATGGCCGGGCACGTCACCCTTATCATGGGCCTGTGTTCTTTCGGGACCCATATCGTAAATTGGGGGACATCGTGGCCTACCATCAAAGATTCAATTTCCACCCATCTCCTTTCCACCACAGGGGAGTGCCA